CACTCTCCATGTCCACCCATGAAACCTTCTAGGAAAACACTGATTTACTACTTCCTCTGCCATTCAGGCTGCTCTAACAATTTACCACAGAATGGGCAGCTTTAAAGAGAGAAATTTACTTCTCACATGTCCAGAGGCTGGGAAATGCACGATCAAGGTGCTGGCAAGAGTGTCTTGTCCCTGATGGCGCCTTCTCACTGTGTCTCACGTGGTGGAAGGACAAGACACCAATCACAATATTCTCACCATTAATACCATCCCTTATGGGGACTTGAGTTCAGTTTATGAATTTCAGGAGGACACATGATTCAGAACACTGTAACCTTGCTATATTTTCTCATGCATTCAATTATAGGAACATTTTTATAGAGGAAAGTTAACATCAGGGAGGTCTCAGCTGTGCCCCCACAGTGTTGGCTTCTTCCTCTCTGTGGTTCACGGTTTTCCTAAGCCTCTGACCAGGTGCTGCCTGTGAAGAGCTTGAAGGTTTTTGTTAAACTTCCACTGTCATTTTAATGACCGTGGAGACGTATCCCCGAACCTTGGTAGCACAGACATACTTTGCAGAGTCTTCTGGTTTTAATGAAGAGATGGTAAGACTGAAAGTGTTTTTTGCCTTTTGATGGTTGATAATGTAGCGACCCTGTTTTGAACTTGACTTATCATAATCCTGAGAAATTAGCAAAGTCTTCTCCCCACTGGGATACTCTTTGTACCAGTACAGAGTATAAATAGTCAGAGTGTTTTGATATCTGCAGTTCAGGCTCACAGATTCTCCCTCCTGCTTTTTGACTGTGGTTACTCTCTGAGCCATGCTGGATCCTGGGGAAAAAGCAGAAGACAGGTTGGTGCTCTGAAATGTCTCAGTTGCTTCTTCAGGACAAGGTTAATGTATGAACCAAGGACAAAGAAAAGGATCACAGTGGTTCATTTCCCACTTCCCTTCCTCTAACACCCCGCAGGAACAGCTTGCACAGCCCCCTCTTGAGCTCTAAGAGGACGCTGAGATCCCAGCTTCAGACCCCACGTACTGAAGCCCAAGGAGGCCAGGAGAGCCCACAGCAGGCCAGGGCAGTGCATGGTGGGAATCCTTCTCCTGCTTGAAAAGCCTCCTGTACTCACTGAAAACCAGAGACCAGCCCTTCTGAGAGCCTGAGGGCAGAGCTCCTGGGCTGTTATAAGTCTCTGCCCAAAGAGGAAGTAAAGTCATCATTAGGATGTTGCTGCACTGCTATTCAGAGATAAAGTACTCCACGTCACCCAAAACTCTTGTTTTCCTCTAAGTTTTTTTCTGTAGCAGTGTATGTGATGAATGACTACCATATCTTAGAAGCAAAGGCATGAGTTCTTGTTCAATAACTTTGTGATCAATGACTATATTGTAAATGATTTAAGTCCTTTAAAAGTAAGGCTTGCCTAAGACATATAATATAGTCAACTTGAATGAATATCCCATGTGCATTTGAAAAGAGTATATATTCTGCTGCTCCGGAGTACAGTGAGTAAGTACAAGTACAATAAGTTAGATAAAGAATGTTTATTGCATTGGTCTCTGTTTGTAACAAGAGAGGTGTTAATGCCTGTCTCTATGGGTGTGTCTTACTGAGTTCTTAAATCAGGAATTTGTTGTAGTTTGATTCCACCTGTTGCATTACCAATTTATGTAAGATATATTTTGAATCTATGCTTAAAGGTATATAAGATATATAGATTGTGCAGCTAGTCATTTTGAAGTGTTCCCCTGTATCTCTAGTAAAAATTCCTGATTTAATGCCTACTGTATCTGATATTAGTATACCTCCCCACTTTCTCTGGGGTAGGGACTCCAAATGTCTTATTGTCCACATGCAAAAAGAATGATTTGTATACCTTCCTTTTACCATATTAAAAAGTTAACAAAATAGATCAATGACCTGAATGTGCACAATAAATGTAAAACAAAGTTGTAAACCTTTGTGATCTTGGAATAAGTGATGCTATTTAAATATGACATGGGAGCACAAGTAACTTAAAACATAGATAAATTAGACCTCATCAAAGTTAAAACTCTTCTGGTACTCACATTTCCTAACTCAAGGCAAATATCCTGGAGACATGAAACATATCACATTGATCAGTGCCCCCCACCAATTTCATTTAGAGAAAGCAGCCTCATTTGAAATGACCACTTGGGTTAATAAAAATAAAATTTCACTGAACAGTTAACGTCCTAGGAACTTCACGGACATCACCTTACTGAATCCTGACCTCATGGGAAAAGTGAAACTTGTGAGAGATTTTCGTTCCCTTGCCCCACCATTTTACAGGGGGATAGAGTCTCAGAAAACTTGCTCACGATCACAGAGCTACTAAATGGAGGATCTGAGGTATAATGTTTTGTCATTTAAGAGATCAAACTTTAATCACTGTATTCCACCTCATTATCTTTGCCCACGTTCTGCTTCTCTTTTTTAAAATTTATTCCAAATCAAAACAAAAGGATTCTTTAGCTACTGAGTTAAAATAAGTGTTACAGATTATCATGATATCTAGAGACCAAACACTTTATCTATCATATTTTTTAAATCCATTTTATTGGATGTAAGTTACATGGAATAAAAGTCACATTTCTAATGTCGTATTTAGAGTGTTTTGATGGGTGTATGCAATAATGGTTACACACTTTATATTGTGGTCGATAAAAAGAACATTTTTATCACCCTGTAAGTTTCCTTGTGACCCACCAAGTCAGCACCTTCCTTCCATGCCCGAGTCCCGGCAAACTCTGATGTGAATTTTGTAAATAGATTAGGCTTTTTCTGGAATTTCATACATATGAAATGATACAGAAGGTATTATTTTGTGTCTAGTTTCTTTCTTTCAGAATGCTTTAAAAATTCATCCATATTTGATGGATGAATTAGTAGTTTATTTTTGTTTCTAAGTAGTATTACATTTTATGAACAATCTTTTTTTTTTTTATTAAAGTCTGGATTCTTTCTTCCTGTCTCCAATCTTCTGTTGAGTCTATGCAATGATTTTTTCATTAATTATATTCTTCAGTTCTAAAATTTCCTATTTTTATAGTTTTCATTTCTCTACTGAGATTTTATTTCTGCTCATTTATTAAGAACATATATTTCTTCAATTTAAAATATATTTTCTTTTAGCTCTGTGCACATATTTGTTATAACTAGTTTGAAATATTTGTCTGCTAAATTCAATACCTTGAGCCATCTCAGAATTCGTTCTCATTTGCTTTTCCTTGACTACAAAATATATTTTCCTAGTAATTTTTGGTTGTGTAATGAAGATCGATGACTGTGTTTCTATTTTGTATTTTAACGTCTCTAATAAAGAATAAACCTATTTTCCTTTTTGTCATCCTAAGTTCTTATGAATAAACTATTCAGCCAGAACTCCCCACACACATCCTGCAGGCCAGCGTTGTGCTGGGGGTAGCAGAGAGGACACTTGAGCAGGGATTCTGGATGCACTGATCAGAGAAGTGTCTGGTAACTCTAGTAACTCAGAGTGGCCAAGGCCAAGCTGAAAGTCCAGCAGAATACAGCACAGTGAGAAAAGAAGCAGAGGTTGGTTTAAAAATGAAGATATTTTCGTGACATTTTCCCAAAACAGGTATTTAAAGCATTGAAAAAAATACTTCTAATGACCTCTGAGTGACAATATTAGCAATGTAACTAGACATTCAGATGCACCAAAAGAGAGATGACTTTTTTCCCACTGTATTTTTTATGGTAAAAAATTATATTTAGGGGCCTTCCTGGTGGCGTAAGGGGTTAAGACACAACCTATGCAGCTGTCCGCAGACTCTGTAGCACAAGTTTGATCCCTGGCTGGCCTGGGAGCAACCCACATGGCGCAGCAGACCTCTCCTGTCTTGCCCGCTGCTCCCCTCAGCAGTGTATTTCAGTACATCTGCCTGTTCTGTTCCCCACGCTGTTTCTGGTGAATCCTCTCACCCGCCCCCACCCCCCACACCTCTGTCCTGTACCCACCTCTTGTATGCATAAATAAATAAATCTTTTAAAAAATTATATTTAGAATTAGCCAGCTCGATTCAGTTTAGAGGATCCCAATTTTTTGGCAACTTTCAGAACCTCATAGTCAGGATCCAGTGTAGCATGGGCCTTTTTCTCCATCAGGTCTGGCAGGGTGTTGACCTTGGCCACGTCTGTGCCACAGAGTTTCCTCACAACCTGCGTGGTCTGTGCTGGTGGCCTTGACATCCACCATGAACACAAGCATGTTTCGACTTCTGTCTTCATGACTGACTCAGTGGTCAGGGGCTCAGTGGTCAGGGGGATCTTGATGGGGGAATAGGGGTCAGATTATTTCTCCTGGGAGTGCTTTCCCCAGGATATTTGGGTTGCTTAGGAGTTGCATGTCTTGGGCCCCTGGAAGATGGGTGATGTGCAGATTCTTTTTTTTTCTTTTTCTTTTTTTTGTGACTATGGATGTCTTTCAGCACTGCCTTGGCCTTCATGGCTTTTGTTTTGGTTTCAGCTTTTGGGAGGAGTAGGGGCTTCCTGCTTTACTTTGGGCGCCATCTTGGTTTTTCACTATCCTTCTAATGACAAACTGTGGGCCTGTAGCAGACGAAAGAAAATGAGAATGTTTTCGTTCTCAGACCAAAATACAGATATAAAACTTGTTCACATAGGGTAGATTAGGTCATTTAGTAATTTATTCTGCCATTTGAAACTGAAATTTATGTGATTCTCTTCTTAATTTAAATTATCTACCATGTAATTAGATAATTACTAATTACTATCTACCTTGTAATTAGATAATTACTAGGCAGCAATTATATAATTATTAAGGAAAATAATGTCACATTAGACATGCTCTTCAGAGCATGACCAACTTTCGTATTCTATTTTGAAACAATTGAATTTTCCCAAGTTCCTTTCTTACTCTGGTAAGTGCCCAGAGGAGGCCTGTGGGAAGCACCTGTGGCCCAGTTTCAGGTTTCAGTACAGCCTGCGGTGCCGTGGGTATCACTGTGCTCTTCCTCCGCAGAAGTAGGTGACTGAGTGACTAGGCCGGGAGGCTGAGATGAGCAGGGAGCTTTGCTTCATTTTCTCATCAATTGTGGCAGTTAGTTCGTCTTGAGCCTTCTTATCTCCACCTTTCAGTAACAACATCAAAAACTCGAGCCCCTCACCACGCTTCTGCCTGTACCACTGCAGGACATACAGAGGCACGGAGGAACTGCAGTTGATAGTGACATCTTGCCCCTCTTGAATGGTCAAGGCCTGAGGACTCTGCTCTATTTCTTGGCTTCTCACACCTGATCAGAGAGACAATTAAAGGACACAGAAGACTGTAATGAGAAGGAAGGGTGATTTTCTTCCCTCCTTTCTTACTCAGACATAAACATGATCGCATAATTACAGAGTATTTCCCACACTTCTGAGGTCTGGTCCCCAAGGCCCTCCCCAGAACACGAGAACAGATTCTGCCCTCAGCGCTGATACCCTGCTCCTAGGCTGAGCCCTTTACCCACAGGCCAGATGCCACAGCAGGGTGCCCGAGAGCACTCTCAGGAGAACCTCCATCCTTGGCTCCCCCAATCCAGTGGACCAGGGCAGCTTCTGAAGAAGGGGCTTCCTCAACAGGAGTTACTTGGAGTTCAGGGTGACGCCTGTGGCAGTGGTTTCCGGAACATCGCAATTTGGCGGCCAACCAGTCAGAGACATCCTGCGCGCGCGCGCGCGCACACACACACACACACACACACACACACACACACACACGTTTGGCTATACTATCAAGAATACTTTTACAACAGTGCCCCCTTGTGGAAAGACTGAGAAATTTGATTAAAATGTGGATTTTAACTTGAAAGTTTGCCACCAAGATATATCTTTTTCTTGCTTTAGCGAGGGGCCTATCCTTACAGAGTATTGGATAATTACTCCAGGATTACAAGAAAAAGAAAAATCTAACACACATGCAATTATACATAACTATATATGTGCATATTTGAAAATAGAATAATATTTTGAATGTAAGAGCTTGTTACATCACTTGCTGTACAGATCTCTTTCTGAGCTCATCAATGTCTTCAAGATTATGTACAAGCATCTTATAATGGTGTATAATTGTTTTCACAAAACAGTTTCTGCTTTCTGCGTTAGTTTTACATTTATATATTTAAGTTTATGTTTCATTTTAGATTGTATGTTTCAGCCGTTTTGAATTAGTTTAATAACATTCTAATAAACTTAATCTTGACTTTATCCCTTTGCATGTTCTATTTCGCTTTTTCGATAATCTTCTTCGTTGCATTCTACTTCTGACTACTTTTTACTAAATCCTAACTTAAATATCACCTCTATAAATTGGAAATATTCTCTTTCTAATTTATTGTGGTTGTATCTTACTCCTCTCCTGTAATAGCTCTGATCACATTGTCTTATAACATACTCCACAATACTGTGGGATTCCCTGCATTACATTGCAGTAGAACAGCCCTCCCCTCCCCCCATGAGCTCTGTGCTGACTGGGTGATTACTGTGTTGGGTGATTATGTGTCTCATGTCTCCAGAGACCTGGAATCTCTGAGCTCAACCACAGTGGAATAACTACTGACCTGCCTGCTGTGTAACAAGTACAGCTTCCTAACTCAGGACCACTTTGGATGACCATATGTTTTGTACTTAGAAAGGTATTTCAGGAACACCTTCGGCTTTTTGGTGAAGACAGAAGAAATTTCCTTTGCAAATATTTCACACACACATGCACACACACAAATATGTGTGTGTTTGTGTATGTGCATGCACAGTACTCTGCAGTCCACACTATGGACATAAGTAGTCTCTTGCTGTCTCTTTTTCCTTCTAATAGTTGGGTCTTCTTCCGTCACCCTCACCTCCTCCTCTCTTTTTTTTCAGGTTTGAAGATCTATATTTAAGGGACAGAACAATTCTAAACCTGAACGGGAAATTTTTTTCATAGAAATTCAGGTTGACAAATTTCCTTCTATTCATCACACAAATGAAAGGCGTGAACCCAGTGATCAGTAAGTGTGTGAGGTGAATGGAATCAGAGCGACATTAGGCTGGACACAGACTTTATTCTAGTTCTAGCATGTATTTCACAAATGAAGAAATCTGAGTCACTAATAAAATCACCGGAGGGCACAAACTGACCATGGATGTTGAATGAAAGGATCTAACACTTATTTGTGGGAAAGCAGAGTCTTGGGTAGGTGGCTTTGGCCATTTAAATCAGTTTCAAGTTTGAAGCTTGAAACTGCTTGTATTTTTGATTATCTGACAACCTTCTTGAGACTTGATTTCATAAAGATTTGTGATGTTTCCAACATCTTCTAAGTTATTGTGGTGTGAGAATGACCTTGGCCTGGGTCTTTGCTCTCCACTTGAGCTGCGTCCCAGCTGCTCAGCGCATCCATCTCAATAAGAATCAAGATGATTACCCGAGCCACAAGGTCATTGCAGCCGACAAGCTTCATGCCTGTGTTTATTAGTAAGATCCATAGGGCAACAGCCTTTACTGATGGGTAGTTTGTCAAATAGTTCAATCTCTTCCTGGGAAAAAGAGTGCACAGTAAGTAATTTACTGAAGCAATACCTAGAAGTAACTTATAAGTGAAGAAACAAATGAGTGACTTGAAACATATTCATCCTCAAATGCATTTAACATAAAGGCATAGTTACCCAGAAACAATAATCAACAGCAACAATTGTGTTCATTCTATACAAAATTGAAGAATTTTATAAACATTTGCAATGCTTCCCACATTTTCTAAGTTCTAGTGGTGTGATAATGACCTTGGCCTGGGTCTGCAAGATTACTAATACTCACAGAACTTGCATTAGGATCCTGGCTTCCCACTGCAAATGGACCTTTGCCTCTAGGGAACAGGGGAACCAGGATGTTCTCATTCCAGGAGAGAGTGGGAACTAGCATCACCAGACTGGGACTCTAATACACCAGCAGCCTCTCTATGAAAATAAAAAAGGAGAACTCTTAGACTCTTGACACACTAAAACTCAGGGAATGCTCTTAACTGGTATGTAGGGCTTGCCGTGTTTCTGTTTTCCTTACAGCTCAGCTGGCCTCGTCTGCTTACTGCTCTGTGTTAGTGGAAGCATATTTGTGTGCCTCCCCTCTGAAGCCCCAAAGTAGAGTTTGGCTCAACCCAGCTGCAGGTTTGGGTACAGGCTGCAGGTGCAGAGAGAGCACTGTGCCCTTCCTGAGCAGAGGTACAGGGCTGAGTCCCCAAGCTCCGAGGCCGAAATATTCAAGGAGATGTGTTTGGCATTTTTGTCGAGGAAGACTGTGAATCTTCCACTTTCCTCTCTGTTCTTAGTTACACTTATTGATATCAGTAATTCAGGACCTTTAGCAGGGTATTTTTTGTACCATCGGAAGTAATCCATCATATTACTGTTGTAGTCACAGTTCAGCATAGAAGTTTCTCCTTCTTGCACACTCAGGGATGGAGGATTTTGCTTAATCTGCTCCTGGTCACCATTCTTCTGTTGACTCTTCACCCCTGTTTGTAAAGACAGTAACAGACTTCACATTTACTCTTATAGTCGCCCCAGAAAACAACATGAGCCAGAAAACATAACCAAACTCCCCAATGACCTCATGGTCCAGCCTTGTAGTGTCCCCTGGAGTTTTCTACTCTATTCAAACCTCCCACCCACAACTCACAATCTGGCTGAAGCCACAGAATCAACAGCAAGGCTCTCAGCACCTTGTCCATTCCTCCTGTGAAGACTCAGGCTGTCTTCTCCAGCCCAAGCAACTGTAGATCTATTTTAGCTGCCTACGCTTCATTCATTTCCTTTCTCAGAGCCCTCTGCTTTTAGCAAAAGGCATCTTTCTTTATGAACCAAAGTACTGCCCCCTAGAGGCCATGTGTAGAAAATTTCTGAAAATGTTTTCATATTTTCTAAAAGTCAATTTGCAATCTCTCTCCTGTAAAAAAAAAAGAAAGTTAAAAGAAGGAGTTGAAAGAAAGGAAAGATTTTCAGAGATTATGTAATTCAACTCTGTGTGTGTGTGTGTGTGTATGCAATAGTAGAAAAAGATCAGTGAACATGAGCATTATATAAAGCCATATGATTGGCACTTTACAACTGGCATACTTAGGGACATGCCCTATTTTAAAATATTCATAAGAATTAGTGTTTATTGGACATACCCTGGGTATAATGTTTTATTTAATATCATGGCCACACATTTAGAACACTTAAAACACAGGGAATTTATTCATTTTGCCTTAAATATAATTGCTTCCCAACATGGTCTTTAGTGGTGTCTAGATTTACTCTAGTTAATAAATGCCGCAAGGTAATTAAATCAGATGTAAATTCTGGACACCTCTGTTAAAAATAGAGATTAACACAACAAAATTTACCCTGTTATTAAATCATCCTCTGAACTAGCTTCCCTTTCTTGGAACTTGTAGGGGCTCATTTATAGTGCTCTGTAATCTCAGTGGGAAACAGTGGCATAATTTTGTGACTTCTTCTTTTATTTTTTTTAAAGATTTTATTTATTTATACAAGCACTGGGTACAGTCAGAAGTGAGGGAGGGTGAGAGAATTCACCAGAGCCAGACTGGGGAGCAGAACAGGCAGAAGGACCGAAGTACACTGCTGAGGGGAGCAGGGGGCGGCAGGAGAGGTCTGCGCGCCATGCGGGTCCCTCCTCCGGTGGCCAGGGAGCAGCCGGGGATCGAACCGGTGCTGCAGAGGCTTTGGGCAGCTTCGCAACCCACTGCTCAACCGCTGCGCCACTGGGGAGGCCCAATCCTGTGACTGTTATAGACAGCCTGAGGCCATAGCCTTGAGAGCTACCAGAACATAAATGTTTGCCTTCACTCTTGATCTATGTCATGTGGTGTTGTATTTCTCTGTAGTTTCATCCAGTGGAAGAGGCAAGGAGGATCTATTGTGCTTCCAGTGCTAAATCAGTAAAGCAACTAATAATTGCAGCTAAAGATAAACAATAAAATAATCTCCTGGAATTAATTTAAACAAAATGAAGAACACAGAATAATTTTTGATGCTGATTTTCTGTGGAAAGAAATGTTTCAGATTTTTATTTGAATAATAATGAAAATAATTGTCTAGGGGTTCATAATGTTATGAAGAACACACCAATTGTCTGATTCAGGAAAATCTGACAATTTACCATGTTTCATATGATGTAGTTTAAAGCCACGTAATTCCCACTTGCTAGTGAAGAAATTTTCAATGATTCTTTCATGTATTCATCTATCAACCCACATTTATTTTAAGTTCTATGAGGTATCTGCTACTGTGCTTGATTTGGCATTTTAAATATGAATATGAAAGTCTTCCATCTTAAATACTAAATAGAAAAACAAATGTATAACTACATGTTCACAACACAGTACGTTGTACAAGTTTTTAATCAGGAAAACATAATTAGTTTTACTGAGCAGGGTAGCAATGTGGAATCGGCAAAGATCTCACAAAAGCGGAGCTCTTTAGCTTGATTTCAGAAGATTTTCTAAATCAACAGAAGATTGACAAATTGGTTATGGAAAAAA